ACTCCCCCTTGGATAGGTGCTGAGGTGCCAATCCTTTACAACACTCTGATCTTTGAGGCAAAAGGGTGGCAAAGCTTTGTGTGTGGCGGACTTGACCCATGCTTGAATGAGAACAATTTGCCCCTGCCAAGAGTAGTTCTGGTAGCTTCTATCATGGTCGGGTACTCTATCAATGTGGGTGCTCTGATGTTAACCAACATCTCACTTGTGGCACAATAGGGTAACACATCTTACCCTTACCCCCAGCACCATCACTGAGTACTTGACTGATGCCAAGGTGGAGTCAAGGCCATTTGACACTAAGGTCAAGCCGACTGGTCCTTTTGAGTGGTACAAGTTGCAAGGCCCAAGGAACCCAAAGAAGAGCATTCAACCCCCTACTATTGTTGACCAGTCTGATGAGATGGTAGTTGTAGCCCCTAGTCCCTATGACATTCCGTCTACTTCAGCTGAGCCTTCCACCAGTGCTAGAGCTTCCATTCCTGAGTGGTGAGCCATAATCCTCAGCCTTTGCTCTATTTTCTACACCAGCTCCGCGGTCGGTGTCTTTGCCTACAGTCCCATTGTCTGCCTTGTGGGTATCTCAAACACTATTGAGCCTCAACAACTAGATGCAGACTGAGTACTTGACTGATGCCAAGGTGGAGTCACTGAGTACTTGACTGATGCCAAGGTGGAGTCAAGGCCATTTGACACTAAGGTCAAGCCGACTGGTCCTTTTGAGTGGTACAAGTTGCAAGGCCCAAGGAACCCAAAGAAGAGCATTCAACCCCCTACTACTGTTGACCAGTCTGATGAGATGGTAGTTGTAGCCCCTAGTCCCTATGACATTCCGTCTACTTCAGCTGAGCCTTCCACCAGTGCTAGAGCTTCCATTCCTGAGTGGTGAGCCATAATCCTCAGCCTTTGCTCTATTTTCTACACCAGCTCCGCGGTCGGTGTCTTTGCCTACAGTCCCATTGTCTGCCTTGTGGGTATCTCAAACACTATTGAGCCTCAACAACTAGATGCAGACAACTAATTCAAAGTTGGCCGAGATTTTTACTACAGTTGTAGGGCAGTCATCTTCACAGACACTATTGGATCCCTCAGACATATAGAAGAAACTCACCACGGTATTGGACAACCAGAAGGTGGTCATAGATACACTGGTACAACATGGTACAGTGGTTGAGCATTTGACCAAGCAGGTGAAGAAGATGAGAAAGATAGATGCCAGCAAGAAGTCGGTTGATGCACTTCGAACTGAGGTGACTAGGATAGCTGAGGTCGATAATTTGCATTTTGATATGCTACTAGACCCCACCCAGCCTCACCTAGATCTACCTTCTCATGAGGATCCCACTGCTCAGCCCGAGGAGCCTTGCCTTGAATCCAGTACTGTTGAGACGGTGCATGATATGTTCAACACTTAGGCAGCTCCCGCATAAGATGATGACATGATTTAGTTAGCTGGGCCAGCTAGGACTGATGTTGTTGGTGACATTGCGATGACTGTTGACTCTTAAGGAGTTTCTTCACCCTCTCTGCTCTTTGATCTTATTTTGCTAAGCAACGAGGACAATGCTTCTTTTTATTTGGGGGTGGAGAATTCTATATTTGGTGATTTGACACATTTTATGACATTGGGATGTAATAATTACATGATTCTATTTTTGTTTATTTTTAGTAGTTTGTTACATTTATTAGTATCTTTATTTTTATTTGTTTTGGTAGTTTAAAATTGTATGTTTTTCTTACTGTTGATAATAAGTCTTTGGTTTTCTTAATGCCACGGTTCTTTTCAAAGATGATTTCTTGTGTGAACCAGGTATCTCTTCCCGAGGATGGATAGTGGGACAACTTTTTTAAGGGAATAAGTTCGTTTCATGGTTAGGTAATAGTAGTAGTAAGTAGTAATGAATAAAAGCCCTAATCAAGTCAGTCTATAAGAAAGAGTTATTTATGCTTCATGTGGCACCAACATACTTAACTACTTGCATATGATTTGAGACTAGTTTTTTTGGGAAGAAATTGCTCTAGTAAAAGTAACTTTGAGGTTCTTGAGTTGTCTTTGATAATCATTAGATGGTTGACTGGACCCAGTGATCTTTAACTTGAATGTAATTGTTATGGGTTTTAGACTTTATCCTCTTTTACGGTCTAATTGCATGAGAGGTGAGATGAAATATTGTTTCTAGTTTAAGTACTCGAGTGAATAGTCTAGAACTTGCCCTGAATGTGCTTCAAGATAAAATTCTAAGTTTGCTTGGTTTGAAAATAATGATTGCAGGCTTTCCTTAGACCCTTGACCTTTCTATTGCCACCCTATGATCACCATTCCTAGTCAACCCCTTTGAGCCTTTAGCCTTTCTCTGTTGATAACCTTGCTATAAGACTTTACCCATTTTTTATCATAATCCTCTCTTGGCACCCAGACTTTCCTTAGCACTCATATATAATAAGTGGCTCAAAGCCTAAGTTTTGGGGGGGGGGGGGAGGGGAGTTGAGGAATCTAAAAGAGGTATCTAGGCATTGAAAAGAGAAAAAAATGATCTCCATAGAACAGAAAGTAAGAAAAGAAAGAACAAAAAGAAAACATAAAAATAAAATAAAATGGGAGATTTATGAAATTGAAGTGAGACAATTATCTCTAGTATGAGCATTAAGGGAGAAAAAGAATGAAATGAACAATAATGAGTGATGGAAAGTGTCTCGAGCCCCCGAAAAAAAAAGAAATGCCTCTAAGGGTTTGGCAAGTGTGAGCCAAGAAATGAGATGTGGAGTGCTTAAGGAAGGGTATAACTACTTATATCCCCTATGGTATCTTACCCCAATCCAAAAGCCTTCGTTACAACTCGAAAGAAGTCCTATTTAATTTCGAATCAAGTAAGCTTACATTAGTGGAGATTTGCATGAGCGGCAAGCCTATGGTACTTGAAGCTTTGCTTGTGACATTCCTTTGTGAGAGAATAGTGAAACCTTTATTGCTCTAGAAATTGAGTGTTAAATCTTGAAGTGAGCATGGGAAATGGAAGGTAGAAGAGGAAGAGTTACCCATGATCTATATGAAAGACTAAGAGTCCTTGATGAGTGAAGTCCATTCATGAAGCTCAAATATCACACTAGAATTACATGCAAGTTGTACGTTTTTTGAAAAATCTGACACCTTGTTGGGAATGCATGAGTATTGTAGGTAATTATTGGTCCCAACTGAGTATAAATGACTCATAAATGACTCTTTGAAATAAACTTTCACTGAGGAAAGGAGAGAACTAATCTAGTTGCTTGAGGACAAGCAAAGACTTAAGTTTGGGGAAATTGATAAGTGTGAATTTTAATCACTTATTAGTACTTTCATGCTATAGTTTTTAGTCTAAAAGTAGTGATTTTTATTTTCGAATCTAATGAAAATGTGTGAATTGCAGATATGTTAGAGAATGTGAGCTCAACGCAGAAATCTAACTCAAAGAGCAGATGTTCTAGCTCCAACAGTCAAGAGGAGAAGTGCAAAGAATAGTGTCGTCCGAAGAATTTCATCTGCGACCGCAAATGCAGATGGGGCCCGCATAAAATGAAGTGCAGCTGCAAATTAAAGCCCGAAGCTTCAGAGAACCTTAGTAGCAGCGTGGTCCGCACACCAAAATGTGCGGTCACATTTGAAGCTCGCACTGACAAGATTGAGAGATCAGAGAAGATGCAAAAGAACAAGTCTGAAGCCTCCTCAAAGCGCGGTTTGCAGCCAAATTATGTGGCCGCAGAAGCGTATGCGCGGCCGTAAAATCTCTCCAACTGACAAGCACTGCAAGAGCAACATACTGAAGCGCGGGCCGCAAAACCTTCCGAAGAGCATTTTTGTTATCGAATTTCAAAGCACTATAAATAGATGAGAACACTTTTTTAGGGTGACTTTTGTACTGTAGTAGCTGCTAGTGGTTATACTTAGTCGTTTTGGGCAATTTGTGACTAAAATTAGAGAAGACCCATTAATTTTACTCTTTAATTCTAGTTTTATGTCTTTAATTACTTCTTCTTTTTTATTTTTCTATGTCTATGATTATGAGTAGTTAGATTTTATCTAGGGTTGTGATCCAATGTAGTATGTAAAATTTATGGGTATTTAATATTAATGCTTGTTAGTGATCGGGTGTATGTTATTTAGCCTTGTTTATGCTTTTATTCTACAATTAATGGTTGAGAATATTATTTCATGCCCATTTGACTCAGTTCTTACTTGAGAAAGATGAGCTTAGTCTAGAAAAACTTGGCTAACAAGAAATTGAACTAGTTGAAGTTTTGATTAGTTTGATTAAACAACTTGAACTAGAGATAAGGATAATCCAACTTGGACTCATAATCAATTGATTTGATTGATACTCATTTGGTCTTGATATAGCCAATTCGGGCATAATCACTCTTTGACCGAGAGGTATTGAGTGGATACTTGAGCATTGAGAATCATAACACACTCCGATCTACCAAACAAACATAGATTTACCTATGAACAAGTCTGAGTTCAAGTGTCTAAATGAAAAAATCGAACAAGTTTAAGGGGTTGCATATGTATTTAGGAATTTACCTATGAACTTTTATATATATAGAGAAAGAGAGAATGTTAAGTGATATACATTATATAAAACTTCATAGGTAAATTCAAAATTTGAAGCTTATGGGTTCAAACAATAACCTTAATTAGGAATTATTTAATAAATTTTAATTTTAATATATTATATATATAGAGAGAGAATTTCGATAAATATTGTGAAGCCACATGGGACTTAGGACATTGACATTGTAGATCCGCCTACAAGTCATGCCTTATTGGCCCTTTATTATGCACGCCATCTGGTAAGAAACGTAAAGTATTTTTCCCTCTCGATTTCTCCGTACAGCAATAAAGAAATAGCAAAAAATATTCGGCGCACATGATGGTCCTAAAATTCGCATCCACATCGTTCCTTTAAAAATAGTCTGCAGAGGCGGGTAAATTTCGAAAACCAATTTCATTTCAATCCAAAATTTTCATTTTTCCAAATTCATTTCCCGCCCTCTACAAGAAATAGAAAAACCCCCCAAACCGAAAACAAAATCTATTTACAAATTACAAGTAAACTTTCCCTCACTACTCTCTGCTTGTACAATGGCTGTTGCTTCAGGTTCTAAGCAAAAGGAAGGAAAAATGAAGAGCCCAACGAAGAAGAGGAATAAGGAGTCTCAAGAGCAATCGGAAAAGGTTATTTCTACTCCTGCGAAGCGTAACAATTGTCCCGGAGTACGTCTTGTGGGTGGGCGAATCTATGATTCTTTTAATGGCAAGACATGTCATCAGGTACTATACTTACTATATCGTCACTGATTAATAACAGATTATGCTTGTGTTATATCTATTAAATGGTCTGTGATTACTCTACTTGATGTGCTAATCAGTAGGAAAGCTGATAAGGGACTGAGGTTTCGGTGACTTGTTTTAAATTTAGGAAAATGTTTTGTAAATTGTTGTAATTTGTTATATATGATGAGGACCACGAGGAGACTTACTGGATTATTTGATTCCAAAAACCATCATTCATGGGTTGACGTTGATCCATGAAGGGCAGATGTAGAGTTCTAATTTAGTAGTTTTGGCTCAAACTTTTATTTGTTTAAAAATTCACTAAATAAGTACAAACAATTGATTTTGAACCCAGATGAGTTATGTTAGAATCCTGAACTCAATCCCTTATTAAAGTTTAAACACTCTTAAACGTCAAAACTTGAATCTGCCTCTGTCCATGATGTAGAGTAAGTGAGTTCAGTGTTGCAATTAGGATGACAAGCAAATGTTGCTTCAAGAGAGAAATGAGTTAGGTTCCCTTAATATATGAATTCTAATGGGGTTATAGGGTTTTGTTTCAATGGCAAACATAGTGTAGGATGTGACGTGCAGTAGGTGCATGTCATTATTCCAAATTTTGGGTGGTGAACTGAATTTGGTAATTAAGTGGAGAAGGGTAGGGGGGTGAGCCATTTTCATTGAGAAGTTTGAACATAGTGGACTTTTTGTTTATAAATAAAAATATCGATTCCAATGTGCTTCTAGGGTTATGGTTCAATGGCATAGGGTAGCATGGGATGTGTGGTGGGTGCATGACATCATTTTTCAATTTTGGGCGGTGAACAAATCTGGTATTTAAATGGGAAGGGTAAAGGGGTGAGCCATTATGCACTGCGAAGTTGGAACATAGTGGAGTCGTTGTTTATCAAAAAAAAAAAAAAAAAGAAGAAGAAGAAGAAGAAGGATATAGATATCAATTGCCTTAGAGCCAAAAGCAATGGGTTTGAAAACACGTTTATACTCTAGGTCTAGCCCTGTTACTGCATATGCAGTCTATTCCCATTTAAGTTTTTGCTCTTGTGAAATTATTACTACTATCTTTTTTTCCCTAGTGATTTATGTGCTTCTGCTTCATTGCATTGTTCATTAATGTAGTATTTATTGTTCAAAATCAACATTTACCCTTCATATGCATTTTCTGCTGCTTTTGGATGGAAAAATGTACTGCCACCATATTGCTACTTTTGGATTTCTTAATTAGTGAAGCATGTTTCTAACTTTGTCTATATTTTCTGAAGGAATTTATTTCTGCACTAGACACAAGAGTCAAGACTGTTGTAGAAATTAATGCAAGATTTCATTTTGTAGCCAAGCATAAAGGAAAGAGTATTCTCTTTTTTCCTGCTTTGGTTTCACAGGAGATGTAAAGTTCTCTTGATGAAAGAGCCTAAAAACTGAACAATGGTTTTGGGGACTTTTCTTGCATTTTCAAGTAGAAGTTATTATTTGAATAAATTAATTTGGATAAAAATGTATTTGAAGCAAGACAAACCTGGCGAAGCTTTATGCTTCTTTACGGCATTTTGGTTAATGTGAACTGTCATTTGTGTTAACATGCGGCTCTTGCACTACTCGTTGTCCATTTCACATTACTGGGTGCATAGCATTGCAGATTATTAACTTATCGTCCTTCATCCTTTTGTTCTTTCAGCATCTCTTGTACTAACTTTTTACTGAACTTCATGCAGTGCCGCCAAAAGACAATGGACTATATGGCTGCATGTAAGAATATGAGAAATGATAAGCCTTGTCCAATTCGTTTCTGTCATAAATGCCTATTAAACAGGTTAAAAGTCTTCCATCTTAATTTTTTCTGACAACCACTATTCTTTTTATTTAAATGTGTACTTATGTTTTGTGAGCTTTTGAACTAGGTATGGTGAGAAGGCAGAAGAAGTATCACTTTTGGAGGATTGGAAATGTCCAAAATGCAGAGGCATTTGTAACTGCAGTTGTTGCATGTGTGTAGCCTTCTTTAGTTTGTTTTTAATATTTATTCTTTCTAAAATAAATTTTAACATGTTCTTGGCAGCTTAATACCGAGTACTGACTAACTCAATTCCCAGGAAGAGACGAGGTTGCCAACCCACCGGTATACTTGTGCACACAGCAAAGGCAACAGGATATTCTTCTGTTTCAGATATGCTGCAGACTAAGGGGCTTAATAATATTGATCGCATCAAAGTTCTGAAAGACACGAATACTACAAACAATGTAATTTTGCTTTGATATCATTATTTTGACACTGATAATAGGAAATATTTGTCTGATTGTTAGCTCTGATACCTTGTTTCTAAATATTGACAGGAGGAAAGCATTGTTTCTGCTGAAAATCAGGGGAAGGAAAATTGTGTTGAAGGGGTGATAGACTTAAATATGCATACTTCTCATTTGTCAAAAAGTCCCAGTGTGGGATGTAAAAGGAAAGTGGTTAGCGAAAAGCCCGATGGAAGGCTTTCGTTAAAGGAGAATAATCCTCTTGGCAAGGGAAAATCTAAGAGAATCAAGCAAGAGGGAGCAACTGAAGTGAATGGTAAGACAAACAGTCATAATAAAAGGAGATCAGAGAATAATGAAGTGAGTGACCTTGGTGTACAAAACATTCCATCTTCTGAAGATAGTCCACATGGTGGTGAAAAGAAGCCAAAAAAATTGATGCAAGGTCAACCAAGATCAAATTTTGATAGCAAGAGAGGTGCTGTTGCATCAGTGAAAGAAACTCTATTAGGAAAATCTCAAGATTCTAGAAAGAACAACAAGGAAAGATCTGTCAAGGAAGGTTCTGTGGAAGATAACACTATTGAAAATAAGGATCCTTTTGCCTTAACTTCATTGCCCCAGGGCACTGGTTTGACAGCTGTTGGTGGCATTGATCTACAGTCGGAAGATATTGGGAATGCTTTACAATTTTTAGAGTTCTGTGCGGTTTTCGGAAAGGCAAGTAACTTAATACCAATACAAACTCTATTATGACAGCATGGTAAAAATATTTTTCATGCATTGAAGCTGTAATGTGGATGAGCACTTGTCATAGCTTCATTACTGAATTTCATGCTTTCCTACACATAGGCTACTGTTTGTTTTTCCTTAGTTCATTATTTCATTTTTGTTTCCCAAATCTTGAGACTTGGTACATAGGGTATATCTGTTGGCGAGCTGCTAAGCTGAACACAAGTTTTATTGCCAGATTTCTTATGGAACATCTGTTTTCCACATCTAGTGTGCTTTCTTATCCACTTGCTTTGTTGCCAGTGGCTCTTTTCTGTTTCTAGATCTGTGGCATTTAGGAGGTGTACACAATTGGCTGATCAAATTTTACATTTCTCAATTATTCTTCTGTTCACATTTGATAGATTCTTGACATCAAGAAAGGGCTACCAGAAGCTGTTCTTAGAGATATAATGCAGGGGAGAAGTTCACGACGTGGAAAATGTTCTTTGACAATGCAGTTTCTTAGTAACTTGCTATCATTTTTAAAGGACGAGGATGAGGAAAGGTATAACTTTTTCTTCACATTTGTTTAAGAAGCACATTTCTTACATCTTCTAACATTTATATATGAATTTATTTTCCAGATTTTCAGCAGTAACTTCAACAGAAGGGAAAAACACATGGTATGCTGATATTAAAATGTGCATCTCAGAATCCCCCAGTGTTTCAAGAACCATGGGCTTGGATTCTTTAAGTGATGGAGCTGATCAATTTGAGAACTTGAGTCCCTCAGAAAAGCTCAAGATATTAAATTTTATCTGCGATGAAGTCCTTGAAACTGTGTAAGTATTGTCCTAGCCTTTTCCTTTCATCATTGTGTTTTCTATTATCTGTTTGTCTTTTTGTTGAAGTGAATTTATATCTTTTTCCAGAAAGATAAGGGATTGGATTGACGATCAAAACACAAAATTTGCTGAAAGGGCAAAGGAAGCAAAAGAAAAAGTTATTGCTGCAAAAGATGAGGTATGGAGGATATAAAAACAAACTTAACCTCATTGTGTGTCAAGTTACGAAAGCTAATATATGAAATGTTATTACTTGTATAGGAGAAGCGCCTGAAGCAGAAAATGCAGGATCGGATAGCTCAAGCCCTAATTGCGAAGAATGGTGCTCCACTCTCAATATCGGAACATGAATCAATTGTTTCTCAAATTAAATGTGAAGCAGCAGAAGCTCATGCTTCTGTGATGGAGTCGAAGAACACTTATTCAAAGTGTACGTTCTTATTCTACATGCAAGTTTTAAGTTCATTTATTTTACATGTATGACTTGCATAAGTGTGCATATCTAATCAGTCATGTTAAAAGGAAGCCCAAAATGGAAAGACATGTTAATAAAGTAGATTTTCTGTTCATGATGGTGTTATGTGGACCAATAAACGACTTGTTATATATTTTCTATTCTAGCTCTAGAACCATGTCATCAGTTATTACCTTATAGGATATATAGAGCCCCAAAAGAGATTCTAAGCCTTTTGCTTTAACATGGAGTAAGTTTCGTGCTAGTACACCAACTTAAAGAGGCGCAATTAAGTTAGACTAGTTACATTCATTCTATTTGTCTCACTCTAGATTGAATAGAAGGTTTTCCTTGTTCACTTGCCATAAATAATGTTATTGGCAAATCTGATTCCTAAACCAGGGCTCTCTCTCTCTC